CTGGGGCGGGGATCAAACTTGCACTGAAGTGGCCATGGCCAGCTTCACAGTGCTCACTTTAACCCACTGCACCACCAGGGAGGACCAGGAGAGATTATTTCTAAGGCTTCCTGGATAAGGCCCTGCTTTAGGTGGTATGGAAAGATGTGTAAGATTTTCATTTAAAGAAAAAGGCAAAGGAATTGTAGTCTAAAGGAACAATGAGTAGAGGGGAGAGGACAGATGCTTTGAAAGGTGACCCATTCAAACTGGCTAGATTACAGGAAGGGGAATCACACACATCCTGGTTTGCCTAGAACAGTCTAGTGTAAATCTGTTTCCCTAATGTAATTATTACAGGGCCCCTTTCACACTTAAGCATCCCATTTGGAAAAGTATGTGATTACCTTAAGTATAGAGTATAAAAAGGAAGTAGAAGGAGACTAGCTTAGAAAGATAAGACTGAATAGTGGCCCTAAAAAGGCTTTGTGACAAAGCAGGTTGGTTCCTCTATAAATATTGGGATGTCATTAAAGGTTTAATCATGTGTATTTTAGGAGGATCAAGCAGCACTTACTAATATAAAGAGAGATGAAAAAAAACAAAAAAACAAAACAAGGATATGAATACTCATGAGGCTTTTGCAATAATTCTGGTAACGTATAATGAAGACCAGGACTAGCATAATGACTGCTGAAATGGAATGAAGAAGATGACAGTGGAAGACACTACAGCGTAACCCAGGTGTGGGCAAATTCTTCTGTTCAGATCAAATAGAAATTTTTTAGGCTTTTTGGGCTATACAATCGTGGTGGTTCTACTTGATTTGACCACTGTAGCTCAAAGTAGTCACAGACAATACATACATGAATAAATGGGGCTTCATCAATAAAACTAACTGTATGGATACTGAAATTCACTGCATATAACTTCCATGCACACAAAATGTCATTTATTATTTATTGCAATCATTTAAAAATGTGAAAACCATTTATAACCTGTGAGTTATATCAAAAAGGTAGAGAGGTGAGAAGGTCTTAGCCTGCCAACCCCTCACTGCATTGGATGCCAGACCCAGGTCTACTAATCATATCAGCAATTTGAACACTGAAACGTCCCATCATGGCATAATCCCAATATTATTAAATCACCTGATTTTATACTTGTCCAGAAACGCAACTACTTTGAGTAATGGAATCTCATTCCTATTTTACTTCTTCACTGAGCACCTTTAAATCAGTCTGTCTTTTGCTTGAGTTATTTAAAAATGGATTCAAGGTAGATCTATGGAGAAAAAATATTCATTTGGTAAGCGCTTTCAGAAGAACAATACATCATTTTGAGATGCTTTACTTCTATTGGGCAACTTCCTAGATTAGAGTGTCTCGTGTAGCACGAGAATGTGTATGTGCTTGGGAACAAGTGCTGTGCAAGAGTCCTGCGGTAAAGAAACAGATGGGTGATGCCAAAAATAAATAAATAAATAACTGAGCAGGTGACATATTTTCAAACCCCTTTCATTCTACATATATATAAACATCCCATCTGAACTGGCTCGAAAGCAAATATATACTTTCAAAAAGTACCGCCATAAAATTGAAGTTACAGTTTAAGACCTGCACCCTTGTAGCAAGGCAAGGATAAAGAAGACAGCAGAGGGCAAAGCATGACATTTACTTCCAGGGTACTTTTAAGCTCCAGGTAGTTTTACAAATGCAGCAACAATCTCATTAACCCCCTCATTAAACTATGTCATTCCATATACCTCTGCTCCTGCCCCATAACGGAGGCATATTCTGTTTCAAAGAAATATTCCTGGCATACTATTTCCTCCTCTCCTCAGGCATTTGAAAGGTGTATGACAACTCATGTCGGTGGGGAGGAAAATTACAAGTTGAAGATCAGCCTAAAAACTTAGTTCACTTTCTGTTTCCAAAACTTGAGTAAGATGTGATCAATGGTATAATGCTGAAGTGATATAAAATGAAGGCTATCAAGTGTTTCCCTGGTCCAAATCCTCATTGCACAGCTTTGATCAACTCAATTCCCATTGCATTAGGAATCTAACATTATAGAAGATAGGCTGGCTATAGTTGAGGACAGAAAAAAGCAGGGTGAAGAACATTTCTGGTAAATTAAAAAGAAATATTTCTTAAAGGAAATGAAATCTCGAGCTCAGTTCCTTACAAGCCTTACCAAAACATGTCTTCCCCATAATCAAGTTTAATATCAAAAGTTCAGACAACACCTGAAAGTATCTAGGGTTTTACCATCCATTACTCTTCCGAAAACTTTACAGTAACATTTGATTGGCATGTTAAAGATACTAGCACTCACAGGAGTTTTCTAGGCACCCTGTCGTGCTCCCCAACTTTACATCTACTAGCAGGTCCAGTGCATCACTGGTCACCAGAGTAACAAGACCACAGCAGGTGGACTCAACTCACAGGGAAGAGGTGTCAGTGGTCGGGGAACGTGCGTTTGCCTGTGGCGTGTCGCATGTTTCAACCTTAATATGGTATCACCAACACCCACATGTGCACAATGCCCACGCATGACACCTCCTTCCTCTCTCTGGTTACTTATTTCCCAGGGTAACAGCTTTTGTCAGTGCCAACTGTATTCACCAAATCTCAGAAGTCTGAAATCAAGAAAGGTAGCTCTACTGTTTATTGACAGCATGATCTTAATCAAGTTTTTTAAATTCTCAGGATCTTAGATGCCTTAACCATAAAGATGAAGATAATGAAACTAATGTTTTGAGGGGCAACTAGAAGACTAAATGAGGCTACAGTAAAGCACTACCAAACATGGGGGGGGGGGCATTCTGGATCAAATAGATCAGATCTGACTAGCACATTAAGACTGGCATAGACCTCCAGGCCCCTGGAAGTGACTCTACACTGCTGATGGTATGAGCAGAAACTAAAGCAGGGGATAAGTAGAATGAGGGTGGGGATAAAAAGAAAAGGTTACATTGGGTAATGGAATGGAAGGAGGAATGTGATCGTGGTGGGGAAAGGGGACACAGCATGATAGTGTGACATATCCTAGAAGCATATCAAATACTAAACCACATTCTATAATCCAAATGTTTTAATGAAATAGTTAACCTTTAATCAACATTTTATAAAGTATGTTTTTTCCATATCTGTAGCTAAGCTCAGGGAAAGAGTTCTGCTATGCAATAATAGGTTTAGTCCTGTAGCCCAAGCAAACATCCCCTCAGCAGATTTCAATCCAAAGATGTACAAGAGACCTGACAGCTCAAATATCTGGGTGTCCTCTGCTCACCAGGCACCAAACACACCCAGAGGAAGGGCTGGGTGATTTCAGATGTGCCAGCGATGACTTAAAATGAAATGTGCACTTAGTCTCAATCAACAGTGAAAGAGGAAGAGAGACTGAAAAATCTACCCAAATACCTACAGTGGCTGCCTCTGAGGGGATGAATATTTTTTACCACATACTATCTCTATGCAATGGTCACTCCATACAATGATGAAATTTTCTACAGTGGTCCATCTGGGTTCACATGGTTCAAATAAGGACATAAATGAAAAGGTACCACACACTGGTATGGAACTCACTGAAAGAAAACTGCTTATGTACTTGTGCAAAATGTCTAATCTTTAATTTAGAACAGGCCTTAAAAAAAACAGATTTGTTTATTTATACATACAAGAACTAGAGTACAGGCCAGAAGTGTAGGAGTGAGAGGATTCAACAGAGACAGAGTGGGGAGCAGAACAGGTGGATCTACTGAAATACACTGCTGAGGGGAGCAGTGGGTGGGCTAGGAGAGGTCTGCCCCCTGCCCCATGTGGTCAGCTCCCTGGCTCAGGATGGAACTCCTGCTTCAGTGGCTGTAGAAAGCCTCACAGTGCTGAGCTTTAACCCGCTGTGGCACCAGGGAGGCCAAATTTAAAACAGACTTTTTTAAGTAGGCATGGACCTGAGAAGTTATCTAATGCAATAACCATTTTTTAAAGATGCAAAACTTAAAGAATCAGAAAGTGGAAGTGATTTGTTTGAGCGTGCACAAATAGCAACAGCTTCAAGACTGAAACTTAGGCTGCTTCATTTACAACCCAGAGCATGCTTGAACCACACTTCCCTTAAGACCACCCACCATTTGAGTGGTATCCACGGTGTGTGTAAGGTGCAACATAGACCAAGATGTAGCTAAAACCTGATCTCTGTCTTAGAAGGAAAGACAAATTGACAAGGATTCTGCATTCACCTCAGCCAACCTTAGCAGCTATTGATAAAGACAGTGTTAGACCGCTGCAGGAGTGTGCGTTCAGTTAACATTCTGCTACCACTCACAAGCCATAATTTGGAAGGAAAGAGGTAGGAGAACGGAGTTATACTAATTAGCTACCAACCAATTTCCTTCCCTTAGCGGGGAACTTATTTTATTTCCATTTATTTATTTCCATTTATTGCATTTCTCGGGGATGCAGTCCCCGACTCCTTGAACAGAGAACAGCTCTTTTTCATTTTTCCTGGTTCCAAGAACCTGTGATTTAGTTCCAGATTTGAGTACAGCATGAAGCTTCTGCAGATACTCACCTCCTTAGATGGCATTAAGAATTTTCCCTGTCGACTCAGACTTCCAGGGCCAGGTCTCTCGTCGCCCCACATACAGGGCATGCCCCTGAAAACCAGCCCAGCTTCCCCCCAGGACCCCAACCATGGAGGGGGTTCTGCCTCACACTGTGCCTCACAGGTCAGGAAAGATGAGCTATTCGCTCGCTCCTTCCTACCAATTCCTGCCGTCAAGACACCCCTACCAAGGCTGGGTGCCCGCCCGGCTGACAGGTCTGAGGCTCGTTCAGAGAAAGGGACAGCTGAGAGGGACCTGGGGGGTAAGTGAGGGTCGGGGCTGACGAACGGACATTCTCACCAAGACTGAACCCCCCGAGCGACGGCACTGGCCTTCCCGCGCTCCAGAATAACACTCCGTCATTTTAAAACGGAACGTTCCAACAGCAACAGTCTAAAACAAAACCACTCACCTGCCAAGAGGCCACTAGTAGCCGCCGCTCCTCGGGGCAGCCCGGCAGCCAGCGCCTCCTAGGTCTCATCACTGCCGCCGGCATCGTCGCTCTTTTCTAGCCCCGCAGCCAGCAAAGGGCAGGTCTTAGGGCCCTGTCTATTGGAGGATTCCACTGTCACTCAATCATGGCCCTGCCCACCTCCCAGGAACAGGTTGAGCACTTTTCCGCTTCTTTAAGCCCCGGGGTAGAAAGCTAGGTTCTGATTGGTTCGCTGCGGAGACAGGCACATTCCGGGACCTTTAAGGAGCTGACTTTGACGCTCGTGGGCGGGCTTGCGCCTGGGGAAGTAGAAAAACAAAGCCGCGAGCGTCGCCCCAGCAATAGAAAAACCTCAAACCTGCTAGGTTGGGCGCTTGAGGTGCTGGAGGCTTTTGGGGTCGTAAAGGGAACACTTACAAAGGTAGAGAAGTGTAGGCGGGATCTTGGCAGTGGTGAGGTGCTGGTTCTTTTACGGATGGGAAGCTTCAGCCTGGAGTCAAGGCAGCCAGTCCTTGCGGAGGAGAACTGTTTTGCTTGTGGCTTTAAGATTTAAATCGTAATTACAGCAAAAATCCTTTAAAGTGCCCGATTTGTGGGCAGTAAATCATCCCCGTTTTCTCTTAGTACTTTTATGGGGATCCCCTTTAGGCGATTCCCTGACACTGTTTTGGTTGGGAAAGAAAAGTAATAAATGCAGGCACTAAACGCTTAGAGGACAGATGAAGGGAGTATGGAGTGGAATGAGGAGAATTATAATTTGGAGGCCACAATTACTGAACAAGGGAAACCTATGAAAATATCTGAGGGCTGGCACGAGGCCCTATGAGCTATAATAAGCAGGCTTGAGCTACCACACAAGGCTTTGAAGACTGCGTGTCAGAACTTTGGGGTGGGTGAGAAAGATAAGAAAGTGGTGTGTTCGCCTGACCACATGGGAAGTCCCCTTTCTTGACTTCTAGCCGCTGGTCTAGCTAGGGTTTAGTGATCTGCTCTGAGTTTTCTCCACATAGCAAGTCTTGTAGATTTGTGAGCAGCAAGCAGGTCTTCCGAATAACCATATCTGAAAAGGCATCTTCCCACATTTTTACCTCTGTGACATACTCTATTAAATTCATTATTGCCTCGTTGTTTAGGAGTTAGTTCTATATCTCATTTAGCCTTGTAAAGATAACAATTCCTCCTGGGATCTCAAAGAGCAGACTTGCTGGCACAGTAACCAGTCCAATGCCTGACAAGTCCTGCGTGGTGATGCTTGGAAATTAGCTTACACAAAATTAACAGATACAAGTCAGAGCAGCTTCCAGTCTTAACTCCCAGGAATGCTGCTTCCAAATGCTATGCTTTTCCCCACTTGCTCTCATCAAAGCTTCCTATTTAGAGTGCCCACTCTGTAGGTTAAAGACAGCCATGCACAAGTGTCACAGTCATATAGCATTTGACATTTAGAAACTGATTCTGGAACTAAGAGCACCTGCTCATTGGATTCCATTTACCTGTCATAGGTATGCATGGAATGCTAATTTGTCACATGGAACATTGACAATATCAAATATCACCTGACACTTAGAGTCTCAATGTCTAGGTGAGAGAACTGCTATTTAGGGGATTACTTTAGAATGACTAAGCTTGTTGGGGGCAGAACAGAGACAAGTCTTCCAAGATTGCTACTTCATGGTTCTGGGGAAATGCTTCCTGTTCTCCCTTCTCCCTGCCCTCTCAAAAAAAAAAAAAAAAAAAAAATCAAGATGACTAATTTTAAGATTAACTTTCATTGCAATCAATCATGATGGATTTCATTCTTATAGAGTAAGTGGTACTCAGGAGCTCAGCTCACTGCCCCCAAACAATGGTTAATGTAATCCCACTTTCATCCAAAAAGAAATAAAAATGCAGCAAATTATTATAGCCATGTTGTGTTTCTGTCTGTTTTTTGTATACACTGAAAAGGTGGTATTAATGCATGTGGTACTTTCAAAGCAGATTGCCTTATTCAAAACATGAATAAAAGTCTATTTTATATGAGCATCCAAACTGGTGTACCTATAATTTCACAGCTACTTATAAAGAGCCCCAGCCTTTTGCAGGGAGGGCGCAGCAGTCCACCTCATAGCAGGACATCACACAGTGACCTAGGCTTTTCTGCTCTGGCAGAGTCACCTGCTCCCTTCCTCCAGAAAACTCTAGAATTTGTCGGTGTTACATTCCATGCTCAGGCCTGTCTTCTCAACAATGTCAGGATATAGCATGGTTGGGTTGGTTGCTGCTAATCTCTAGTCTCCACCTCATCCTATCTTCTTCGAAGCTAGTGAAAACCAATCACCCATAATCAAGAGCACGGGCCCATGTTTAGCACCCACCATCGACCTACCAAGGACAATAAAGGCAAACATACACAGTGTCAGAGTCTCACACACAGCCTCTGACATTGAGGTACTGAGTACTGAATACCGGCCCCTTTTAGCAAAAGCCAATCTGGAAATGTTCATGTGCACGCTCAGAATGGACCTTAAAGCCATCTGTGCCTTTATTTCACAAGTCAAATCTTAGAATCCTGTTTCACGGAACATTCTGAAAAAATAATGGAGGCAAGTATAAAATAGCTCCATCATCTCTCAAGGCCTTAAGAGTCGCACTGGGGATGGAGGTGTGTTGTTTAACCCCCCAGCCTGTGACTTCACCTGTAGTACAGGAATAATACCTACGGGTATTAAAATGAAAATTCAGTGAGATGATGGGGTGTGTACCTGGAACATGGAAAGCATTCACACGGTGGATGCTGTTCTGTGCAGTGACAGTAGTGATAGATGTCAAGTGTTTTAGCTACTTACAAGCACTCGTAAATCTGGCCCTGTGCATTCATCCCCTTTCCTGCTCTCTACTCAAGAAGAGACCTGGGCTTAGGCAGAGGATGCAGGACAGGAATTTCTCCAGTTATCTTGTTGCTACCCAGGAAGGCGAATCTCAGAAGCCAGCACTGAGCAGGATACAGGTGCCCTGTCGCCACTTCTGCTGGGCTGGGAATCTCTGGTTAGGGGAAGCTTGAGCCAAGTGAAATTTCTCTGCTCACTCCCAGTATTGAGTATTGTGAGGTAGGAACAGACCAGACTGATTTTGTTTCCACTCTGAATTCATGGTGAAAAATAAATAACCCTTTGGAATATGAGTGTGTGTGTGTGTTGCGGGGGGGTGGTGGGTCAGGGAGCTGTAAGGAGGAAACTTGAAAAAAAAAAAAAAACAAATGAGGTGCTTACACCTTTTACAAATTCTTTAGACATGGCTCAGGAGAAGAATGCATTGCTTTAAGTGCTTGCTTTTCTGTAATGATAAACAAAAAGGATAATTTCCATCCTGTGGAGTTGCATTTGAAAAGCTGTATATTTATTTCAACTATAGTAAAAAATACTAATGTTAAAATAGTATGTTTTGTCTATTTTATTAATATTGTAGCTATTATATTTTAATAAGGTTTAGACAATACATAATTTAAAACACCCATTGTCTTACCACTCAGAATTTATAATGAGCCATTTTTATTTCTTGCTATTTTTTCCCTTTGAATCAATTATTAAAACAATTCTGGAACCACTGTGGAGGCACTGTGCTGTGGCAATCTATTCACTTAATATATTAAGTAAATATCACAAATAGTAAGTATCACAAAAAACTCCCCATGTCATTTACTGCATCTTACCACTGTATGTCCCTCAATACCCAACGCCATCATGTAAATGTGGCTTCAGGGATGTGGCTCACGAATCCCCCAACCTCCTACTCTTGGGCATGGATGCAGTTGCAGTTCCTTAGGGGGCAGGATGTCTTGGGGGTGTCTGCTGAACCCATGATCCTCCTGTGGGCTCTGGCACCCCTATGTATAGGCTGGTAAGAGGCTGGAAAGTGCCCAGAATTCTTCCCTCTGGGCTGGCCTGTATATTGCCCAGCTAGTGAAGGGGAGCCTGAAAGTTCTGGAGGGTCGACCTTTGTCTCTGCCCATCCAGGTTTCCTGTTCTTGAACTAAAGAAAAAGTCTTCAAGTAAGAGAAAGCCGGGAGAGGACTTGGAAATCAGAGTTCTGTGAATGAAGCCTCTTGCACGGCATGGGCCTCTATTTTAGACTCGGAAAATAAGGCTTCAAGAGAACATTTGTCCAACCCTGCAAGCTTGCATGGATTGTTCGAGAACCTGAGTCAGAATTTAACCTCTTCCTACTGTGTTTCCTGTGATGGCTTAAAACTGATGGATATTGCTTCATTCTTTCCAAGGGCAGTCTGTTGTCGACCTTCTAGGATAGACTTGTTTTCTGCCCTCTAAAAAAGGGACTGACTGTCCAAGAACTTTTGGTGCCTCTGGGTCCACTGACTGGACTAGCTCTTTGCCAAAAAGATATATCCTCATTCTTTGAAGAATCAGATGACTGCGTTTTGTTCCCACATACTTGCTTGTTTGCTTACAGAAGTGACCTCACTCTAGACATTGAAAGGCCAGGCTCTTAAAAGGAAGTCCTTATAAAGCCTACATCAATTACAGTACATTATGCTTCATGCCCTAGCTTTGGGGATTTATGAAATATGCCTGTATATGCAGCGACGAGCCTATTTTTCGGGTTTGGCTCATGAACTGGTTCTAAAGGAAGTTCTAAAAGAGACTTTCCAGAATTGGTCAGAGCGATGAAGCATTGTTGAAAGGATGAGTAACCACCCAACAACACATTTAAAAGGCAGTAACACTTATATGCAGGTATCATTTATAGAATGATTTTGTCAAAGCCTTTTGACAGAATATAATGAGAATTTCAATCAATGATACATTATTTAAAAGATTTTTTTTCACCACACACACACGCACACACACACACATACACTCTACCAATGCTCTTGCCCAGACTACTAACACCACTTGCCTGCATTTTCTTAGCTTTCTCCTAACAAATCTTCCCAAATCCACTTTTGTTCTGCTAGGGAACCAAGGTGATATTGGTAGAATAGATTTGTGATAACATGACACCATCACGAATACCTCTTCTCCTCCCAGCCTAAAATCCTTTAGTGGCGTCTGATTGCTGCTAATAACAGTAGGAAGTTATT